AGGTTTTTAAGGCTACTCTGTTATTTGCTAGTTTCAAATATATTGTTGACACACTTATTTATGCCTTTCGGGTAAGACTTGGGAGGCCTGAGTGTTTGTATATGTTTCCATGTATTTTTACTAAACGTATTTATATATATGTATGTATATATATATATATATATATATATATATATATATATATATATATATATATATATATATATATATATATATATATATATATATATATATATATATATATATATTATATATATATATATATATATATATATATATATATATATATATATATATATATATATATATATATATATATATATATATATATATATATATATATATAATTTTAGTTGCCCTTTATTGTGTCTTCCTGGAAAGTTGAAGGACGAGCTAATAATTTCAGAGATAAACAGAAGTTGAAATTTAATCAATTGGCGCGGAGCACAAATAAAAAAATTATTCTAGCACGAACGTGGTCCAATGTGTTTGGTTCTCACGTGTAGGGCGGTTCCTGCCGTGTCCGCACATTTACCGTTCAGGAAAGTTAGTAATAGATGCTCGCGCAATATTTTACGCAGTCTTCCTGCTTCCCGCTAATCGCAATGGATCTTTCCTCTTGAATTGTACTCGTGAGGAAAACGCGTTTAGGCGTCGCTCATTGATCTGGGTCGCCAGCTGTTGTTCTTCTCACCCCGTTGTGCTTCTTCTGCTCCCCTCCCCACCCCCCTCTCTCTCTCTCCCTCCCTTTCCCCCCCCTCTCTCTCCCTCTATTTCTTCCCTCTCTCTCCCTTCCCCCTCTCTCTCTCTCTCTCTCTCCCTCCTCCTCCTTCTCTCTTTAGTGCGATTAGTGTGATATATAAAGTCAGTGTTCTCACCCCTCATTTCGTAAAACATAACTTGGTCGTTGAGTAACTGGTCTTCTGTTATCTATCGTTTCCTGTGTCATCAGTCATGTACTCAAGCAGTGGCCAATATGTATACTTTTGTACTATAAGAGGAAACATTTTTGTATGAAGCATTTATAGCAATTTTCTATTTTATATTGGTATTCACCTATAAATTTGCATCCAAACTTCACTTTTAAAGGCTCAAAGTGAAAAAAAATTCTGAAGCCAATATTTGTTATCTATTGACAATAATTATGCTGCCGCATTGCACTGTATGTTTTTACAGGTATGACCGAGTTCAATAACAATTAGGTTACATTTGTAAATATCGACTTTTTATTCACAAATTAATTTAACAACAAATTAATTCAAATAAAATACCCCGTTCTTATTTGGCTATGATGGATAATGTGCTCTATTAGGACCAACAAACAACAGAGACAGATACAAATTAAAGATATTCCTTTCTTTGTCATATTTTGACAAGTTTAAAAATACTAGCAGAGAGGGGGGGGGGGGGTATGACGCCCGAAACAGCTGTACACCAATAATATCAGCAGGAAGAGGTTGACAGCCATTCTTCTGGAAATATAATAGTATTGCTTCCTTGAGGCGTATAATGGAACTCTCGTTCGCGTTACATTCAAATATGGAATCGGATTCTCACTAAACTTTTTAGAAATTGTCCTCACGCCCGGGACTGTTCTGTTAGGAATGTAATCGCAACAATAATACACCATTCGCGAATGGCGCATATTAAATTTATATTATATATATTTATATTAATATATATTATATATATATATATATATATATATATATATATATATATATATATATATATATATATATATATATATATGATAGAGAGAGAGAGAGAGAGAGAGAGAGAGAGAGAGAGAGAGAGAGAGAGAGAGAGAGAGAGAGAGAGAGAGAGAGAGAGAGAGAGAGAGAGAGAGAGAGATGCAGCTGATCTCTGGGTATTTTATAAGGTCCACACAACACACGCTTAACACACCAAGTAGCTCCCTGGAGAACAACACACCAAGTAAAAGGTGTGACACATGTTCCCATGTTTGGACAGAGCAATTTCGGCGGGCACGTCATCAGGAATACACGAAACTATTAAACGCATTTCAGCAACAGGTTGGGGACCAAAATATACTGTCGCTTAAAATGTACAAACTATTTTAAATAACAGGCTAATACTCGCATTTGCTACTGATAAATATCGTAGTTTTAGCTTGCAAACTTCAAAGTAAACTCTACCTAGATCATTTAAAACAATACAACAAATTATAATACCACTGTTACCACAAAAAACATAAATAACTTTCGCCTTGTGTAAAAATTCTTCCCATTTCTCCAGAAAACGGAAAATATGTGAAGAAGTTCTATCTCCAAGTCCAAACTCCAAGTAATAATATATTTTGGTGAATATATTTTTTTATTTATTTTTATTTGACATTGCTCCGATTTCCATCAGAATCAACGGGTTTTCTCAAATTTTGCATTAATTATTCCCTCTTCCACATTTTTTTAGCCAGATTTCAAATATTTTTAATTCTAGCTCCAGCATCCTGATTTTAAATATTGGAATCAAATTCTAAAACTGTACAGGTATTCTGTTTCAATTCTTTTTTCAAGATTCAAATTCAAATATATATTTCTAGTGAGCATATTGTAATTCCAAAAGGAAATTTTAATGTATTTTAATACAACCTTCCAGTTTTATATTCTATTTACAATATCATTTGAATTTCCTGTATTTAATAATTCAATTATAATAATCTGGTTCAATTATTCGGAGCTATCTTTTTTCCCATTTTTCTGAAACTTTTTTTTCAAACTTGTCGAGGTAGCTTCAGGGTTCTGGTCAGTTTCATGTGAATATTTGTATTATTTATATAATCAATTCAACTCTTTGCATGTATATTTACTTTTTGCTTCCTGTTTGTAAGTTCTGTAAAGTTTAATTTTGTATTTGTGTTGCTTTTTTTAATAGTTATATTTAGTTAAATAGTTTTGTTAACTTTTTTTTTTAGTTTGGTATATACGTTACATATTTATTATATTTGCACAGTAGTTTGCTTGTTTGGAATTCTAAGTAAGAGTCAAATTTCTAATTTAGTTTTTGTGAAATTACATTTTATTAATTTGTATTATTGGTGAATATTTACTATGTCGTGTCTAGTAAACTTCCTTTCCAGCAGACATCTGGTTGATGGTAAGGAAGTTGAACTTGGTTTCTATTTCAACATTTTCTCCAGTTTCAGTTCCCTCTTTAACTCTGTTTTCTCTCAATTTATAGTTTTCTTTGCATCTTTACTTCTCAATCCATAACTTCAGCTACATTTATCTCTCTATATCAACTTATTTCCTATTTTACTCATTATATTTATGACGAGGATAGGTCACTTACTCCTCTGATTTCTCGGCTATTTAAAAAGATTTCTCGGCTAATCGGCTTAACACCTATCGACGGTAAATTGCTTCAATCTATAACCGTAAACACCACTCACTCACCTATATTAGTTTAATAAAGGGGCATAACATTGACTCACCAAGAACCGTTTATGTTAAAACAATTGACTCTTATTTTTCCCAACATATTTCAAGCAGTTGAATGTGAACAGAATTGCGACAATATACAGTATCAAAGCCTTTGATTCTATATATCCGGCGCGTGGTATTGATGTGGGTGGTGGGCAGGTTAAGTGGGATTTGGACTTGGTTATTACAAAAGATGCGAAGGCTTAGCATAAATGCAGCAATATCCCAGTTAGAGTTGTTTCTAGTGGGGTATCTAAGGGGCATGTCCTGGGACTCCTGTTGCTTAATATATAAATGATTTGGACACGGTGTTGAACAGCATGATTAGCAAATTTGCATATGAAACTGAGTGGAAATAAATTTAGAAGAATGTTGAAATTCATTACAAGATCACTAAAATGCCCATTTAAAATTTACGAAAGTTTAATGCTTACACTTACAGGGATCTGAGCCTGGGCGTTGATAGATGTCTGCGGGAAAGTGTTAAAACTTTGTAATAAATATTTATCGCAAAAATTTTGAGTCATGATCAGCAGAGATAGGCCAAAAAAATCGATGTATAATGATCGATTTAAGGCAAATACGAAACCGAAATTTCTATCTGGAATCGTTAATAATAATATGTAAAATGCTTTTGTTTGTATTACCCTTGTTAAACCCTATTTATATAATGCTGTAAAATTTGTGTACTGTACTATACAGTAGACATAAATTTACTTGAACGTGCACAGGTAAGGTTAATTCAGATCATTCTAAGAATTAAAAACCTCCCTTGAAGAGAACTTAAGAACACTGTTTTAAATTATCTATTAAGGAGAAGAGGAAGGGGAAGACACGAGAGAAACATTCATATGTATCGGGTGAATAATAAGTGGAATATTTACAGGAGTCTAAATATATGGAGAACGAAATGGAATACGAACCATAAGGATACGAATTGGAAAAAAAATTAGACGATTTATTAAAGATCTTGGTAAATGCCGGGGTGGGAATTAGATTTTTGGGAAACACCACCTGCTAACATAATAGACATGGAATTCCTAGATTGTTTCAAGCATAGTTTGATAGACTAATAGGAGTAGTCTATCAGAGACAGTATCCCTCTTCTAAACCCACTCATCCTTCTACTCCATCCATCTTGTCACCACCCACTCCGTCAACCATTATTCCCCCACCACCACCACCATCTCGTCCCTCCCCCTCTTCCTTCCCCACCTAAGGTATCATCCATCCCACCTCCATCACGGGTCCTCCCGGACCACGGGGAGGGTTCGCCATACGCATCTGGGATAACGTCAGCCAAAATCCAATTTTGGTTGAGCGAGTTTTTACTCCACATGGAAATATAGCGTTGTGCTCGCCTTCTCACGTCGTCTTTACCTGTTATGCTAATGAAAAAAATTATGTATTTGTAATTTGGATATGCAAATGACTCATTTTTTGGTGGATATTGAGGTGATCTCATAGGTTTTGTTTGTATAAATGAGCACCACTAGGATATTGATCTGTTAGAAACGTTAAAGACTATCCATCTTTTCTTATATACATAAATCCCAGGGATGAAGCAGCTGACCCCAGCGTCTGCCCGTCCACAGAGTGCAACAGGAACTACTCCGGCAGCGTCGGCAAGACGTACGAGCTGCAGGTGCACTGGCCGCTGGAGACCAAGAAAACCCCAGTGTGCAACCTGACCTTGGTGGCTGCCGGCGGCTTACACGGGGACCTCATCCAGCTGGCCTTCCACAAGTTCTCTCTGGGCAAGTTCAACTCCCACACGGACCGTGGGTGTCCTCACGGCCACATGCAGATCATCGAGGACCAGAGGAAGTACAGGTCGGTACTTCATGCGGCCACTACTATTATTGCTTATTATATTAATACAATTATTTATTATTGATCAATATTATGAAGTGCTGTTATTAGTCGTGTAATAAAAACTAGTTAATATAATAGCCAAGTGTTGGGGTGTATCTGAAATAGTATGAGTGTAAATGCTAGTTCTTGTTAATGTTAGAGTACTCGGCGTTTATGTGTTCTTGTATGTGGCGTAGGTTTGTTCAAGCATGTGTGTGTATATGTGACGAGCATGAGTAAATGCATGTGAGATCCATGTGTGTGGCATGCAATTGTATAATATATATATATATATATATATATATATATATATATATATATATATATATATATATATATATATATATATATATATATATATATATATATATTATCATATAATCTGTGGTACGGATGTAGACATGGATATAGCGTATGCGCCTGCGTGTAACTAAGAATTAAGGGAAGGTATATTTGCTATTTGTGTCTACAAAATCGAGCTATTTGCTTTTGGACCCCACAATTCTGACTAATCTATTTTCCCTCTATTATATCTACTACATATAAACTACTCTAACACAAACACACACTCACATATCCATTCATCCCCAGGAATCAGCCTGTAGCAGCTGTCTATCTCCCTGGAACATATTTACTAGGTGAGCAGAGGCATCAGGGTGAATGAAAATCTATCCATTTGTTTCTACCTCGGCAGGGAATCGATCCCAGGCCCTTAGAACTACAACCTCCGAATGCTGTCCACTCAGCCGTGAGGCCCCCAACTCTGATACTGTGAGCACACACATTATGTGTGTGCGTGTCTGTGTGTGTTATTATCTAAAGCTTCAGTGGCCGTCAGACAACAGGTCGGAGAAATCCAAATCGACGCAGATCACAGCTGATTAATATCAGTGTGACAGGGTTCTGATGCAATTATGTTGGCTTGTAACCGGTGCAATATTGTCTCACACACACACACACACACACACACACACACACACACACACACACGCACACACGCACACACGCACACACGCACACACGCACACACGCACACACGCACACACGCACACACACACACACACACACACACACACAAACACCTCTGTCTCACCTTTCTCATCCTCTACGCGAGCCTATCAGCCTATACCATGTTCTATGTCTCTGATTCCACTCATCTCTGAGTCCTTCAAATTTGTCTGTATGTCTGTATCTGTCCCTATGTCTGTCTCTCACCGTCAGTGACTCCTAGTGATAGCGTGTGTCCTAGCGTTTCTCACGTCAAACTGGGAATAATATAGTGAATTGTGGTACTCGGAAAATCCATTATCAAAATACAATGCACACATTGCACTGTGCTTAAGGAATTATTTATCCCTTTTATCTATACAAAATTACTCTCGGGGAGTATTTGGGGTTATTGGATTTGTTACTTTTTGATATCAGAAAGGTCGACAATAACAAATGTTATTCAAATTATTCAATAGATAAATTTAGAAAGTTCAGAGGTGGATGTTAACAATGGAAAATGAGATGCTTACTCAAACCACTGCTTACAGATATTGTGTGGATAGACGAGACCAGGATACCTCTCTCTTCATTCATTCCAGCTCATATTATTGAGTCATTAAGAATTATTGAGACGCAATATTTATTATTCTGTCAGTTCAAATAATGGATAGTTTGCCGCAGGAGCAAGTGTCTCGGAAGTTCGCTTTCCAAAAGAGAACTTAACTGGCAAGTTATAAGAGGATTCACTCATGGGATGGAGGAAGAAGAAAGGAAATAAAAGGATGGAGGTGAGAGCAAAGTTGGAAAAAGAAAGAGATAGGCAAAGAAGAAAAAATAAATAAAAATATGATTTACAAGAAAAGGACAAGCAGGAAAAGGAGAGAAAGTGGGTCAGACGATAAAGGAACAATAAATAGGAAACCAAGAACGGAAGAATTAAGTAAAGGATAATGAAGTACAGAAGTAAATAAGGAGCCAATGAAACAAAATATGGAGGGGGTAAACAAGTCGGCAAGGAGAGCCTCCAAAGAAATGTTAAGCGAAGGGAGGAGAGAAGACAAATGATCTTTCCCAAAAGTTTAGAAAAGATTGTCGGGATTCAATTGTTGAGGTGTTTGGAGTTTCTTATGTGGGTTTTTATACGGCATCCACCATCTCTACGGCCGTCGGCCAACACTGCATCATGTTTCTTAAAGCTTCAAGACTTGTGACAACTCTTTGTTGCCGGCCAGTTCCACAAGTTTTGTGCCTCCATTACTGTATATTTATATCGGAACTATTCATAGGTCTGGCAACATTCTAGGGAGATCTAGACAAGCTACAAGAGTCTTACCTGCTAATATAAATCTCTTGCATTATATGCAAGAGATCTGTCAACACTGCAAAGTCTGGCAACACAACAAGCTATCTGCCAACATTGCGAGAAGTCTGTCAACTCCACAAGATGCCAGCCAACACTACATAACGTTTGCTAGCGCTACAAGAGGTCCACCAACACTAGAAGAGTTTCGTCAGAAGTAAAAAAAAAAATTCAAATCGTCCAGGAAACAGTGAGGTAAAATATTAAATTTCAGTTTAAAATTGCAAACTAGTAATTAAATTAGTTTGGTCAATAAACAGTAAAATTCTGTGCAAATATAAGTGACGAACTGCAGTCTCCTGACAGCCCATCACACAACCTCTCCCCTCCCCCCTCTCCCTTTCTCCCCTTACCCCTTCCATCTTACACTTCCCGTCACATCTTCCCCCTTATCCCCTCCGCATCACCCTTCCCCCTTTTCATCTCACCCCCCCCCCTCCCTCCAACACCCCTTTCTTACCCTCGAAAGCAAATACGAAATAAAATATTTGCAATCGACGACAGTCATCACTCGGTGAATATAAAGGTCAGGGGGTCACAAGTAAAAGGTCAGGGGTCACAAATGAGAGGTCAGGGGTCACAAGTAAGAGGTCAGGCAGGGGTCATGATGCATTATTATAATGGCACTGCCAACTTACTCTCCGTCCAGAGGTTGCTGTTCATGTGTTCATGTTTAGCCTGCATGTGTATCTGCTCAGTACGAACAGCTGCTCAGTGCAATCAGTTCCCCAATATGCGCATTTGCACAGCACATGCAGGTCTCGAGTGCAGAGCTACGGGATGAGGTTAAGAGAAATAAATCTTATGCCACAAGAGTAAAAATAAGAAGAGACGACTTAGATGTATGATATTCTAAGGTGATCGGATAAGATGATCATGAAATTGTTCTAAATTGAACAAATTAAATCAAGATGTCACAAGTGAAAACTAAATAATTTAAAGAGTTTAAAAGAGATGCAAAAGAGTGCTGGGTCGGTGTGCGAATTGTGGATAGGTGGAATGCACCGAGAGAGGAGTAACAAAGACAGAAAACAATAACAAATCTCCGTATCAGATATGACAAGTCTTGAAGAATTGAAAGTAGAGCACCAACACATTCCATCAAGAGTAGAGGCGGGCCCAGGAGATATTACTTCCAACCTGCCAGCACTATAAGGGTAAGGACGCATGCTCGAACACCTCTGACACAGAAGCAACGTTCAAAATCAGAACTATTAGACTAAGAATGTAGGACAAGTAGAAATAAGACAAACGTGAGCTCGAGAAATGTCAAGTAAGATTTTTTTCAGAATGAAACTTAAAAAAATATGAAACACACTACAGAATTTGTTACTGCAATATCTTCATAAACAACTTCAAAATAAAATATAAGAAGGAAACGTGTGGAGTCTTTGTATGATATCCCAGGTCGAAAAGGAGGTGGCCAGAAGCCAGCGCTCAACCTTCTGCCACGTGTAGAAGATTACGTGTTGGAGAGTTCTCCTCTTAACTAAATAATGTAAAGAAACAAAACATTTAGGTTCTCCAGAGAACTTGAGCCTCTTCCGCAGTGCAGCGAGGAAGGATAAATATTTCAGTGAGGTACTTTTGGTACGAGTGAGAAGGAGGGAGGGAGGAGGAGGGGGTGAGGAGAAATGGAACAGAGAAGAGAAGACAAATTAATATGAGAAGTTTAAGGAATAGAACGTGGAGGAGGAGGAAACAGGTAGACACGTTGTGGAAGGATGTAATGGAATATAACTACATTTATTGTTATGCACTGTAGAAGGAAATAATATGGAGGAAGCCGAGGGATATTGGTGAAGTTGATTGGTAATGGAACAATTACCCCACCCAACACCCACTGCAACAATGGGAGCAACATAGAGAGAGGGAGAGTAGTATACATCTTCCTCTGCTGCCAAAAGGAGTTCGACACTGGAGACTATTACGCGATATTTTTTTACACTCCTCCGTACAGACGCTCATCTCACCCGCACACACACACCCTTCTCACTCACACTCCTTCATACTGATACCCCTCACTCTCACACCCCTCCATACAAATGCCTCTCTCACCCACACAAGCACACTCCTCCATACAGACGCCCATCTTCCCCTCACCCACACTCCATACCGTGCTGGTATTCCTGCTACACACACACTGTTGCCACACAACACTATACGCTACGAAGTGTTCAATCAACATGTTTTATCATTTTTCTTATAATCCATCTTATACTTTTGTCCAGTAATATATCCATGAACCTCTCTCTTCACGTGCTGTTATTCTTATTTATTAAAAAAGGTTGTATTTACCCTTCAACTTTCTAATTATATTATAGCATAAAAAAATTTAAACGTAGCACATTTAAGTGGCTTAAGATCAGCGAACTCTCGCACCTCCGAATAAGTAGGATATGTCGCTTATCGCTACATACTGAAACGCTTACTTTATTAGGAATTTAAAGATAAAAATTCCTGAACGCACGAGTGAAATTCATTGTGGAACATTTTATGGTTTCGAGGCTATCAGCTGAGTAAACATTACTTCATAGAAAATGCGTTCAGATTTTTTTATGGAAAGCTATTGCAATTTCAGGGTAAGAGAATTTGGTTTGCTCAGTTCTGCATTTATCAAGATATGCTCGTTCCAGTATATATATTATTTTTCATATTTTTTAATGAGTATTAACACTTTGATGTGGTATTATATTAAATATAAATAATATTAGACTGAAAAAGCGCATAATATATGAGTCGTCTCATAATCATTAATCGTTAAATATTTACTTTCCTTGTTTATGGGTTCCTCCTTTTTAGATGGTGTGGGAAGTTAATATAAATGATCTGTTGTAAGTGCAGCCGGCCGTTAACATGACTTAAGTTACGAATGAAGTGAATGGTTAAAATGGTCGATCAAATAAAATTGATGAATGGAATAGTCGATCAACGTTGTTCAAGCAGCAGATATAACATGCAGTAAAGAGTTAAAATATCTAACCTAATGGCAATGTAGGGAAAGAAGGAGAGGAATATATACATTTGCTGGTTCTGCTCTGCATACAATGAGAACGGAATAACATTTACAATTATATGGTTTTCATGTAAGAGTTGCCATTGATAAGAACAAAATTAGGAATAATTTTAGCCATTATGGATTAATGAATGATGATACCTGCTATGACACTCCCATACATCGGATGTGTTGTGCGGTGCCCATATAGCAGTGGGTGTACATGTCTACCGTGTGCTTGCAGGCCGGGGTTCTGGTGCGGAGACGGCGTCGGCCTGGAGATGTACTATTCAGAAACACCCTCCGTTTCCGTCATCATCACGCGGCTACCCATAGACAATGACCTCACTGCTCTTGACGCCTTCTCCAGCATCTACGTGAAGATGTCCTACAAGTTTCTTCGACGGGAGTCGGCTGTAGTGAGGTACGGGAAGCCGACGGAGCCCAAGTACCTGGGTCTGCGAGACAAGACGACAGTGTGCGACGCTCTCTTTACCGACTGTGCCCAGCGGCCGTGCTTCGTGCAGTCTCCAAACTTCCCCGGGATGTATCCGAGAAACACCACCTGTTACTACCGTCTCAGCCAGACGAGGTCGCCACCGGGCAAGAGGGCAGTCATCGCTCTCAGTCAGGCGGACGGCCATTTGGTACATGTAAAGAGCCTGGTGCAGCCGCATGACACCACTGAGCGACATCTCAAGCTCTATGGAGACTGCTACTACGTCGGAGACTATGTGCGGGTATACGATGGCGACGCAACGACCTCACCCGTGTTGGTCACCTTCTGCCGCGGAGACGTCGTGCCCGAGATCGTGTCCTCGGGTCCAAATATGCTTATAGAGTTCACCACCTCTCCTTACGATTATCCTCATCACGAAGCGCCTTGGACACATGTGGCAGGGTTCGAACTGCGAGCCGAGGCGCGTTTCATACCCGCGGCAGCTATTGGTGAAGACTGTCGCGTGGAAATCCGCAGCAGCGACAACAGCACTGGGTGGGTGGAGGGCGCTACACACAGTGTGCCTCCCAACACGACCTGCGTGTGGCAGTTTCTGGGCACGCACGGCCAGGTTGTGTGGATCACCTTCGTGCACTATTTAAGGCAGACGCAACTCGCCAAACTCCAAGCCAAGTTGTGTTCGACGCAGCTGACAATCAGTGACGGAGACTGGCCAGGAGGGAAGGCCATTGCTAGACATTGTCACGACACAGAGCCGCGCACCTGCGACCGTGCCAGACGACTCCTCGACGACGCCAACGTTCGCCCCTGCGACTGGAATGAATCTTATGTCTCCACTGGCAGGAACCTGAGCATGTCTCAGTATTTCGGAGATGGAAGCATTGTTACTAAAGTTTCATTTATGCTCAGGTAAGAGTCTTGTGTAACTTTGTGCTTATATCTTCAATACAAAGCTTAGCCAGAAATGAAACAAGTAAGAGAATACTGCATTGTAACCTTAACTCTTATATCAAGTTTACTCAGTTTAATGAATAGTTTTACTCCAATTAAGTACCACATGCTATCCGGTTGGTATGTGGCTAAAAGGTTAGGTATATAATGGTTGTGCTGAGCCCAAGTGATCTTTAAGCTTAGTATTTTACATGTATAGTTAACAAGTAATATATTTCTTATTTGTCCATCATGTACCCAAGACCCTGGGCGGCAGTGGATAAGTTTTCGCAATGTCTACAGTGACTAAGCTTGGGATATTTGGCAACTGTTTTGGTAGTATATATAATTTTGAATTAAATAATTTTACATTTCTTAAGCATTTCTTATAAAATTCTTTAAATATAAATATTTATTCCATCACGGTGATCATGGGTGCGCAAATGGTTTTGCTGAAACAATTTACATTTGTTCCGAACTAATTCGACAGATGGCACAGTTACTTGAAGCCGAGCGGTAGTACTCAGTTCATTAGAATATCTGCATAGTAATTAATTTTAAATGATTGTATGTATCGTGCTAAAAACTATCATGTGACGTGTGTTAATATGAATTATGGATGCAGGGAACGGAACTCTCGGCCACATATCTTCCAGAGCGAATTGCTACCGTCATTATATTGAGATATAACTAGATCAACCAGTTATACCGGCAACGTGTTGGGTAGAGCCAGCTTCAGTCTGAGCTCGGTTCCCCGCATTACCAAAAGTATGTGAATGTGTTTAATTGTATGATCTCCTGGGCAGGTACGAGTTCGTAGACCGTCGTCAGACAGGAGAGTGGGCGGGCGATCCCTGCACGCGTGTCGTCATGAGTGACGGCACCTCGCGCGGGAACATCACCTTCACCGCCCCGCGGGATGTGTTCCTGTATGGTCGTGGGGGGCGGCCCTCCGTGTCCTGCTCGTGGCGCCTGCTGGGTGCTGCGGACCAGGTGGTGCGGCTCACCATTAACAGCATCCTCACTGGCTCGTCTACCTGCCGGACACAAGTGAACCGGCAGACGAAGGCACTGCGCTGTATACCTGGTGGGGCCTCACACATGTCTCTGTCTATATCTGAGTGGCCCTGGGCTGACGTGGAGCTGCCACTCGCCTGTGTCTGCTCCCACGACTCCATACCCATTACTCAGGTGTCTCATGGGCCAGACCTCACCCTCAACCTCACCATCAAGGGCATGCTGCCCCACGAAGACTACAGACATTACTCCTTCAATGCCACATACGAGTTCCTGAAAGCGCCCGGGTGTCTTGGGGCTACGCGGGTGCTCTCAGGGGCTGCCGGCGAGATTGTGGCAGATTCTTCTCCTTCTAACTCCAAAGGAAGCTGTGAAGGGTTTCCCTGGTTGCTGAAGACTCCGCCAAAACATTCACTCTTCCTGACCTTGCCGCGCGCTAGCCTCGACAACGGCACCTGCGCCTCCGATACTCGCTTGTTCTTCCATGTTCCAGGAAGTGCTGAACCCGTGCTCGGGGTGTGCCCCGCTGCTGACCAAGCTGCGGCCATTACCTTCTTCTGGCCACCTCCGGAGCCTCGAGTGATGAGCCCACACACCCCTGAGGAACAGTCCAATACCAGCGGTGCTTCCGACGTAAACGATGCCGAAGACAAACCCACGAGCCGCGAATTGGACTTTCGAGAGTCTGACGGTCGTGAGTCTTCGCTGGTAGTGGTGTGGGAGCCCCGGAGCGCCTCGAGTCTTCGGCTACGCTGGCTAACCACCTGGAAACCGGCTGATGCTGAGAGGACGGATGACGGAATAGGGACGCCCCTCACGGGTGGCTTGGGAGGGTGGCGGGACGAGCCCCCAGACCCACCCTGCAAGGAGCTGTGCCCGGAGCTGAGCGCATGCATCCCCCCGGAACTCTGGTGTGACGGGCGCAAACACTGTCCGGAAGGTCAGTTCCTGCAGTCTGTCTGTCACCACCTACCCCATATAACCTCCCTTCCTTTATTCTATCATTATTCGCGGTTTTCCTTATAACTTATTTCAGGTATCATCATAAAATGTACTAATTGAAAGTTTGTTAAGTGCATTTGTTGTTTTCGTGCTCAACTCATTAATGTTACCTGAGGTAAAGTATGTCTTCGTTTGAATATGATAAGAATATGATGCATGTAAGAATAAGGTAAGAATAGGATGAATGTAAGAAAAAATGTAAGTGGAAAGTAAGAATAAGAAAAGGGGGTAGGAAGAAGCAATAGGGACAAACCTTAAGTAGATCACGCTTGTTAAGAAGGTTGGAACATTTAAGTATATCCTGTGAAACGGAAGAGTCAACAGTCTTGGTTTTTCCGTTCAGTATAATCAATATATATTTGTCCCATGATAGGTGTGCCACAATTACATCGTTCAATCAATTCGCGGTCAAACATTTTTTGTTCTCTGATAATTAATATTAACTGTACTCAAAAGGATTAATATCGACAGCGTTACCGTTTATGTAACTGCTATTTTGGACATCCTCGCTTGCATATATATTAAATGAAGATAAAAATGCTATATACACTGATTTATATTTCCGGTCAAACAATATTTCATATTTTTAGCACCCTTGCCACTACTCACCAATTTGCCGCGTGTTTTCTGTGAGTAAAAATTAAAGATTCTTTATTAATATGAACTTTGAATTATTAAGCTGTTAGGCTGACATGACAAGACGACAGGTCAGAGAGAGAAATTGGCGAAAAGTAGCGGATGGAGAAAGGGGAGAGAAGTGAGGTCCTGAGCACTCCACATGTCACTCCCGACCTACATTCTTGTGGTACATAAGATCATATTATATATTACCTGAGAGGGTACCCGGCGTTGCTTGCGTGAAGGAGGCCACGTCTTTACTACACACTATCTTCATCACTATAGCTGTTTCATCACACATTATCATCACTATAACTTTCTTTACAACACAACCATTATCAATTATTACAGTGAAGACTGATACATCTTAAATACACACTCAACCCTTAACACTTTATCTAACACCGTCTACATTATATATGTCCATCTTCATTATGTACCGTCCTCATTATTATAATTATCTTCACTACTCTGGCACTACCGGGTATCCCATCTACAATCTTCAATATCACTATCTTCCCTCTCCATTAGCACCTTCCCTCTCCATCACCACCTTCCCTCTCCTCCAAAGTTAATCTCTGGACTTAGAAACCTTTCATATGGAGAGAGATTCAAAAGAAGATTAATTTATATTCTCTTGAAAAGGCGAAGAGTTAGGGTTGATATGACTGACGTGTACAAGTGGATGAAAGGGCATAACAAGAGGGGGATATTAATTATATCAACATAGAATACAAAAAATGGATATAAATTGGATAAGTATATATTTAGAAAAGACCTGGGTAAACACTGGTTTGGAAACAGGAAAGTTACTTTTTTGGAACAGATGGCCGGGTAACAGAGTATGCGTGGCATCACTTGATTGTTTCAAGCGAAGTTAAACCATGTTTAAATGAGGATATAAATAGTAACTTCCTCATGTATGCCAATAGGCCTTCCGGGGAGTGTGAGAGACACAGAAGAGCATAAAACAGCGTATCCGGGGCGTGTTTTGGCACAGGAGAGCATAACACAGCATCTCTGGGGAGTGTGTGAGGAACAGTGGAGCATTACAGCGTCTCCAATGAGTGTGAGAGACACGATGGAGCATAACAACGTCTCTGGAGAGCGTGTAGGCCAGTGGAGCAGCGGTCGACAGGAAAGGCAGGGAGGGGCGTGCATCAACGTTTACTGCCCCATCTCGGTAACATAGTGGAACTATTGGCTAAAGCTAGTGAGAATTTGCAGGTATAAATAGAGAGGGGTGAGAGGGAAAACAGAGAAAGAGAGAGAGAGAGAGAAAGAGAGTATACGTGTTTGTTTTGTGGGGTTGTATGTGCATTGATGTGAGACTTGAGCCTTAACTCTTGAGTACAATCTTTCAACCTAATTTTTGACTAGTGTTTAGGGTTCCCGAATTCTTGGAACTTCTCCATGACTGTACATGGAACAGCGTATGGAGTCTTCCTCCGCCACTCCAAAACCTTTATATTTGGTCTGCCGTCGCCGCTAAATCATTCCCTAGGTTTACTCAATGTTTTACAACTTTGTCAGTAAAGTAGTTCTTTCTAATATCTCTTGAGCCGCACTGGCGCGTGTACTTTCTACCTATGTGTGTGTGTGCGTGTGTGTATGTGTCTGGGGGGTAACGATACCAGCCTGATGACTTGCTAGGTGTGAATTAATCTTGCCCCAGCGGTCCCTCAGGCACTAGGGGGATCATTAAGTTCCTGCCAGGCTTTGCCCATGACAACTCCTGCTGATTTCCCTGAGGTTTTGACTGTGTCCTAACTGGTCCTCGTCCCGCTCCGGCAGGCGTTCTTCAATACTTCGCTCACACATAAAAGTTTTGTGCTCAGTCACAGGACAGACTACAATCTGATCTCTTTCATTTCGTTGTTATCGAGGATTTCAACTCAAGAGAAACAAAACAAAAAGTTTCACAATGTTCAGATTAGATTGAAGGTATTCAATTGTAAGTAAAAGATTACTATGTTTTTATATATTATCGGGAAAACAGATCACTATAGGTTAGTGAAAATCTGCTGAATATATACATATCTGATATATATAGCTATATCTAAAATATATATTTTGTTTTATATTATATATATTATATATACACACTCACGTGGCCCCAAAGAGTATATATATATATATATATATATATATATATATATATATATATATATATATATATATATATATATATATATATATATATATATATATATATATACATGCCTAATGTTTCAAATTATCTTAATAGAAATTCGGGCTTTTATTAGTATAAAATTTAGTAAAATTATTAAATGCTAGAAAATAAAAACTATTAAGTAGTATATATATCAAGAAAAATAAACATTAAAATATAAAGTATTTGATCTTATCATTAAAAAATTATGGAATCAGGTTCAGGATCAAGAAAAATAGGATCACGAATCTCTTTAGTGCTGAGAAGCTCGCCAATCAGTATTAAATACTGAGAGACTCGTCAGTGTTAAATCAAGATGGCCTCTTGACGGATGACTCGCGCGTTCCAATGAATACAATTATGTAATATTATTGCGGATTAAAAGATTATTACTCCAATGGTCATTCGCGTCATGAAGAGTCGAACAATTGATCAAGGAAATGGTGAAAAGCTACTGAATGATTTATCAAAGCGTTTACACGAAATTATATTATATGATTATCTGAATTTACAATTTTCATATTAAATGAAGCTGCTTTGTTTTGAATCATTGTTGCTGCCACATCACGGAAATTAAATTCATATAATATTCATATCCAGCCATTAGAAGTTGACAAGCTAATCAATAACCCAGTACAAATTGAACAATATAGTGTCAGCTCATTAAATGTATGAAAGTTTGTTACAAAACTATCAAAAGAGGAATCATGAATTGACAGCAGTTCAGTAACATCCAATTTGTACTTATTACCAATACATAAAATTGTTGAGAGTCAGGCCACTATATGTATAAAAGGTTTGGATTGTTGGCCTTAGACTCAACGCCGAACCCGGAAGTTATTTTGTGCTAAACTTCGGGCATATATAAAAACTAACTTGCCAATTTCGAAATATATAAATATATATGTCATATATAGTAAATAAAAGTGACCGATGTATTTTACAGAGCTAAATTTTCTCGTCTTATTTTGTCTTGCCGTTGAAAAGTTTGTTATCCTATGAAGGTAACAGACGAACAAGTATACCCATATGAAGAATACTCCAGTAAGCTCCACTAAGACTTGGAGTAATTCAGCCTTGAGAGCCACATGCATTGTCAAGTGTGGAAGACCATCGCAATCTTGAGCAAGTATCACTTTATGACTATCAAGGGAATGATAATGGGAACGTTGTTTGGAGCAATCTTGTGAATGCTTTGAGGCGTCCCCTTATTGTACCAGTGAATTGGTGACATTTTCAGACATATGTTTGTACTGTACATCTAATGCTTCGGCTTCATAAAGGTAAGTGTTTTGAACCAGTTTACATTTTGGAGTGGGCGTGTACAAGAGGTGTCCCGCAGGCGGTCGACTTCAAGTGAAGATTGTATCTCTCAGTAAACTTCAGTAAACTCAGAGTTCAGAAGACTTTCTTCCTCTGGTGGTTTGGAATTATGCATTTGCATTATGCCATTATGACATGGCCCGAGGACCATAATACTGACATTTAGCCTCGAGGAGCGTATTTTGCTCCTCAAATAGTTCTAGTATTGGCTTATGTCACGAGGTGATTGCATTTATATAAAGTCAACAGGTATTTCATGGTAACACCTGCCATCAGCACCACTACAAGTGTCACCGAATTTATTACCCATGTTATTAACTTGCATGTCATCACACTTGCTTTGTTTTGCAAAGAAAGTGTCAACACCTGTCACCACCTTCATGACACTTGTCTGTGCCCGCAGGTAGCGACGAGATGGTGGCCAACTGCTTGCTAGAGCGAGTGCCGTGGCTCTATCTTACCATTGCGGTGCTGACACTCTTGACGCTGTTCTTCATTACGGTGTCAGCCGTGCGGCGTCACCGCAACCAGAAGGCCAAGAAACGTCAGCAAGACGCTCGGAGGGTGTCGACCCAGGAGTCTATCCTCCCCCCTAAGGAGAAAAGCTTAAGTGCCTATGCTCTCGACTACACCGACATGGACTTTGAAACTACCGTGTAAAGTGCTTACGTTAGGAGTTCAGTCTGGTAAACTGGCTAGCGTTATTATTTCTATTTTGTTATTCTTTCGCTAAGAATTCATAGTTTACTGTTGCACGCAGTAAACCGTTCCACTCTCGCTGTGACAAACGAATAATGTGTTCGCTCGTTCATACTGAAGTCTTGGCCAAGCGCCATTTATTCTCTGGCTGATAGCTGGACACAAAAGATCTGAGATTTTTTCCATTCTCCTGGATTTAAAGATTTATTCTTGTTATATATCTCTTAGCCTTAATTTTGCTGTTAAGTGTGAAATTTCTTAGATCTGTTTTGTTAACGTCCTGATATGTCCACATGAAGTATTTAATCGTTCTTGGTTCTGTTGATGAACTAACGCACCAACACTAACACTCCTTATGATATTCCTGGGCAGCTTCTGATACTTGGTGGTCAGGGTGTAGGGCGAGTCTCGTGCAGCTCTCTTACACATATACAGTCTACTGCTTTTTGTTACTTGTCACTAGGTGGAAAGGGAATTAAGTGCACACACACCCCTCTGTTGCTGGTTGCCTTGTTAGTGCTACAGTTCAGAACTCTTCCCAGGCGACGGGAAGAGCACTTGGGATCACAGTCTCCGTCGTACCTCTGGCAGGGATTCATTGAGACAAGAGGCTAAGGAGTCAGAATCTTAAGGAATTCCCAAATCCCGTTTAGGAGGACGAGTGTATCCGTTATTTATCAAGTAAATATCTATCTCTCTTGTTCAGTGATTTACTGTGTTACCTTTTACTGTTTGTTATGTCGAGTTTCTTGGGATTCTTGTGATAAAAAATAATGATTGAGAAAGCATAGGCCATTGGTCGTACACTTGGAGAACGATCATCAGTAATGAGGGAAGCTTTACCAACACTTGAAATATTACAAACTCATATTCGCCGCATATGATTGAATTAATTTAGTCATATGCAGGTGCTAGACCCGTAAGGATTGCCAAGATATAATAAGGTTATATTTCGTTACTGCACCACGACTGTTCACTCGCGTGGTGGGTGCTTGTTATCGTTTGTCGACGTCAGTTGCGGCGTTGAAGCTTCATGATGTGGTAATGAGCGACGTAACACCGGGTCAAGGCGGCATGCCACCATAACATGCACAGTGTGTCAGTATGAGCAGCTCCCTAGGACACCTACACGGTCAGCGCGTTATGAGGTAACTGGCTGAGCTTCAAAATCAGTAAAGCTTGACACTACACGTACGAAAGTCTTGCATGCTAGTCACGCACGAGAGGCTCGAATGCTAGCCACGCACCAGAGGCTGGTATGGTAGCCACGGACGAGAGGCTGGCACGCTAGCCACGCACCAGAGGCTGGCACGCTAGCCACGCACAAGAGGCTGGCATGCTAGCCACGGACGAGAGGCTGGCATGCAGGCCACGCACGAGAGGATGGCATGCTAGCCGCGCACAAGAGGCTGGCATCAAGGCACTAGTGTCATGCACTCCATCCACCGTGGATGACGTCGTTTGTCTCGACCATTAGCAGTGACAGCAGGAGCGCCATTTGAAGTGTTGGATGACCCTTAAACTGCGCTTCTCTTGCAACGTAAGTCGCTGTAATTTGACGTCAGTAAATAATTCTTTCACTCCATAGGTATCCAAAAATGAATATCAAAGTTATTATTTTCCGCCATTGAAATATTTGACGTAATCATTTTATTCGAATTGACAGTTGCTGTAATATTTTATTTTCCTACCTTTGGATAGAAACCCACCAGATAGGTTCTTATCGTTACTAGTGAGAAGTCGTTGGTCTCCTGCCAGGATCTTCCAGCTCATTACGGTCTTAATAAGCAATGAGAGCTTTTTATGGATTAAAATAATTTCCTAAAGTTTTGTCATAATTCAGGGTGACGTATGCCAGAGTTAATTAATTAGGCCCTCACAAGACCTCGATATTATTCTTCGGTCTAATGAGATGTTTATAATTAAAGATAAAATTAGGAATATTTGGAAAAGATTTTTTTTCTAATATAAGTGCGCAGAATATATCAAAGATTTTGTCTTCACTGAATTCATCCACTGATACAATGGGATGTATACACACACACACTAATATATTTATATATATTTATATATATATATATATATATATATATATATATGGCATCTGGCATCTGTATATACGAGGAGTGTATTGTGAGAGGAATCGTAGCACGGCAAAGTGATGAATACACGTGGCAACCACACCTGTCACCAGCAGCCTCTGGGCCTTTACTAACCCCCTCCCCCCTTCTATCTCACAAATGGGAGTATCCTTCACCTGTTTTCATGTCTGCAACAGTTACGTCTCGATCCACAAACTCTTCGTACTGCAGCGGCTATTTGCCTTGATTGCCCAATTTACAATAAGGACAAGTGCACTTGCCACAAGGTTGAAGTAGACAGATATGGTTTGCACCATCTGAAATGCAGGAGCACCAATGGTTGGAATGTGAGACAAAGTGACATCAAGAGGAACATTATCTCAGCTCAGTATCAAGCCTAGAACTCAGCCCGATACCTAGCCCGATACCCAGCCCAGAACTCAGCTAAGGAAAACAACGATTTTGTTTAAGACTCGCAATCCTGACAGCCATGCTTGTTCCTCATGTAAGATCACAATACACTTCTGGGCCAAGATTCATCACACATTTACGAAACCTGTACATCTTTCCTCAGTCATGGCGTGTTTATTTACATTTATTAAACAGTTTGCGAGCTCTGAAGCATTAGGATTTGTTTTTATTATAATGATAACCTTCAGCTGTGAAATATCGAAGATTGTAAACCGTCTAATAAAAGTAAACAAAACTGCCATGATTGAGGAGAGATGTGCAGGTTTCGTAAGTGTTTTGCGTAAATGCTTTACGACAATTCGAGAAGAAAAGAAGTTGGTGTGGGACTTTCTTTATATGTATCCAGTCTGCCTGTTAACTATATCTTCCTCCAGTGTTTGTAAATCAGGCGGCATCACCAAATAAATACAACAAGCTTAGGTAATTGAACCATCAATGAACCTGTTCCAATAGGATCGGAGAGTCTTGACCGCTGGGAAAGAAGGCTAAGGCCTTTCTCGAAGGCTCTCAGAGCTACAAAGGCTGCCAGTTTTCCTTTTAGAGCTTCTGTGTGGCGATCCAGAGGTGGAACCTCAGATGTAACCACGATGCTGGCCCAACATCTGATGCACTCCAGGAAAAGGACAACCTCTAACCATCCATGATAAAATAAATGGAATAAAGATTTAGGCTTGTCACACAGGCGCAAACACATGATCCCCGGCAGAGACAGAAATGGATGGGCACGTTTCCTTTCACATGTTGCACCTGTTTATCTAGCAGTAAATAAGTGCACGGTAGTGTGACAAGTGATGTGGTTGCATTGTGGTGAAGGTCATTAGTACGACAAAGTGGAGTACCTCGATGCAAGCCTAAGTACAGTGTTGTTCCCGACAACACTATACTTAGTATAATGTACATACATATTTAATATAATGTGTGTGTGTGTGTTCTCTGTGACGGTCTATTCCTTAAATATATTACACATCGGTTTGCAAATGTAAAGCAGCAATATACAAGATTTAAACACTGAACTTTTCCGTTCCAAAACCTGAGCAGAACTCGTGTGCAGTAAAAATGTTTTAAAGGTTTCAGTAAATATTGTGACAATCATTCAGGATTTCCTTGTCTAAATCAGCCGACTCTTGCAATGGGTAGAAAACGTGAGGTACCACAACATGGATAAACATCAACAATAATAATACGACTAATTTAATATATGTACGAGCAAAGTTCGAGTTATAATAGCAGGTGGGCTGGCCGCCTTGCTAACACGATGCTTGTGTGTTTGACAGCTAAGTCAAGCTTGCTCTTTTTTGTCAGGGAACTGGCGACAGTTTGTGAGGTTTTCGAAGTATTTCTACATGTATGGTTGTTTATAGATGAACACTGTGTGTAGCAATCACTCAAATGCACTCAAATACCTGTTATGTTTCATGATGATTCTGTTCTCTCGTGGGTTTTACAGTCTGGATTTGATGTTGGAATTATGTATCATGGGGTATGATTACCCTCGAGTAAATCCAGGCTCTTGGGCCACCAGCTGCAGGAGTGGGACGACTCGTCTAATATTCGGTCGTCTAGCATTTCGATTGTATTTTACACCCTGGTGAGTTGCCGTTATAGTGTAATGTTCAGTGGTTTCATGTTCAGGGCTTCGTGGGGTTCTCTAATTGTTTGGTCATACGGTGGACGGTGTTTGCTGCTATTCTTAGAGCCCCTGTTTTTCAAACATTGCTTGTAATTTTTGCCTGTTAGTTTTCTATAAGGTGTGTGGGTACTGGAGAGTATTCGGGATGTGGATGGAGTAGAGCCTTGTACAAGTGAAGCTGAATGTATGTACCAAGACTACAGAATTTTCTCAACTTACCTAAAGCTATTTTGGCTTTATTTAAATGTCATAAATTAAATTTGATTCCTTTTCTATTAATCTTAAGTCCCAATATTCTGTAAACAAACTTTTTTTGGGTTGCGTGGTTGTTAAGGCTCTGGATTTAGTCTTGCAATGTGCATTAATTTGAACTTATTTGGTGGTACTTATTTTCAAGAACTTTTCAATGTAATTTACCTACCCTAAGCCTTTTTATACCAATTAGAAAATCAATTTCAAAAGCACAATCATTGACGCTTGGAATATTAAAATCTTTCTCATATTAAGTACCTTTGTGGTACCGAGGCACTCAAGGATAATCCTCAAGGATTCGTTCTGCAATTTTTCAAGCCCTTTTGATACATCCCTGATTGAGGAGGGGTCGGCTTTATGTAAGAGGGTAGGGGTTGAGGGAGAGGAGGAAGGGTTAGGTAAGAGGTCGGGATGGGATCATGGGGGAAGGGGGGAGGGGCTTGTGAAGGACAGTTGGAGTAATGGGTAGTGAAGGGATAGGGTGTGGACCATGGAATAGAAGAGAATGGAGATGGGGTTCAGCAGAGATGGAGGAAGCTGGAAAATGTGGGGGTAGATGGAAAATTGGGAAAGAAACACAAAAAAGAGAGAGCAGAGGATAAGGGTTGTGATTGACCGTCTGCAGTTGAAGAGGTTCTAGGCCTGGGCAGGGTTGAAAGGCTACAGGTGTAGAGAGGCAGCGGGTATTGGGCTTATGCAGAGAGGACAGTGTGGTGAGAAAAAGAGATGTGGGTAGGTGTTGTGCAGAGAAGAGAGTTTAGGAGGGTGTGGAAAAAAAGGTTCGTGTAGAAGGGTGTGGGATGTTTGCGGGAGTGGAGTACAGTTGAGGGTAAGGGAAGGGGGGCGGGCTGTGGTTGAGGGTGGAAAGTGAGGTGGGTATGAGGGAAGGGTGAGTGGGTGGGTGGGTGGAGGAGGATATGAGAAATGATGGCAGTAATTCATGCAAATCTGAGTCCGGGTCAAAAAGAGAACGAGGTGTTTACGCGAGTGGTGAAAACTGGGGATGAAAACTCGGAGATTTATGCCGCGGGAAGTGTCCGAAAAGACTAGGAGAAAGAGGAGGAGGAGGAGGAGGAGGAGGAGGGCTTCGTAGGAAAGGAAACCAAAGTGTATTTGACTTTTTATCTGTACTGGTTATTATTCCACGTTGCTACAGCTTGATAATATTTTTATAATAGTTATGATGAATGACCGGGATGCATAATCGACTAATACTTTTTTATATTTGTTATTCATATTAGTATTATTATTGTGATTATTTTGTTTTATATCTGCTGTAAATTTGCAATAATTATCATTATTGTAGAATATTTGCCGTTATTGATATCATATTTTTTAAATATTTTGCTCCACAATTTAAGCTATCTATTATCACCACTTCCCAAGCCTACCAAAATAATTGTTTCATTGTCTTACAAGAAGGCATGCGAAGTGTGTTGACAACTGGATGGTCGGATGGCTTGACCTCAGGTCAGAAACACAGACTAAATACGAGAGAGAGAGAGAGAGAGAGAGAGAGAGAGAGAGAGAGAGAGAGAGAGAGAGAGAGAGAGAGAGAGAGAGAGAGAGAGAGAGAGTAAGAGAGAGAGAGAGAGAGAGAGAGAGAGAAAGAGAGAGAGTAAGAGTAAGAGAAACGTAGAGTGAGAGAGAGGTACAGAGAGAAATAGCAAGAGAGCGCTAGAGCTCTGCTACATATTTCGCCAGTGAAGCACTAGAGGGCTCCAGGCGTCGCAAACTACACAAGGAAAGTTTTCCTCCTTGTCTTCCTCGCGAGTCTCTCACTGGAGGGTACGTGATTCTTCATGATGTGGAAAAGAAAGTCTTTCCTATTAAGACTTTGTCTGATACATGACCTTTAGAGCAGTATACCGTAGGACACATGACACAGAGGAGGAGACTTTTGTCATAAATATGGTCAGAGTGTAGTTGGTGGATACATAAATATTTTTTTAGATACGAGACAAGGAGAAGAGCGCATGGGTGGCTTCAAAGTAATAAAATAGGCTTTTTACGAATACACGGGGACAGGAAAAGTTTAAAAAAAGATACCTAACGCTTGGATACATCTATGTAGGATACATAATATAAGGCATGGGCTCCAAACAACGCAAAACGTCAAGAGAGGGTTCTGGAAGATGTCCCTAACCGTTTCCAATAAGACATCTATTGCGAGTTTCAAGCTTTCACTTGCCTTAAGTTCTCCGTTTAGATAATGCACCTCAGCTTTAGTGATCGAACTATATAATGGTTGTAACCTACTTGAACGTGCACAGAGATGGATTAAAAGTTAATCCAAGGCATTTGAAACCTTCCTTACGAAGACAGACTAAGAAAGCTTAATTTATATTCTGAAAATAAAGGCGAAGAATAAAGGATGAAATGTTAAAGTATACAAACGGATAAACAAATATTAAAAGGGGAATATTAATCCAAAGTATATCAACACAACTAGAACACAAAACTATGGATTCAAACCAAATTAGTTTAAATCCAAAAACAACCTTGGAAAATGCCATTTTAGAAACAGAGTTTATGATTCATGGAACAGATTGCCGAGTTACATAATAGATGTGGGAGTGATGAAGCTTTAAAGTGAAAGTTCATATGGAAGTGTTTGGGAATACATAGTTTGGGAA